CAGTGACACACTCAGAGTGACACACACACACAGTGACACACTCAGAGTGACACACTCACAGTGACACACTCAGAGTGACACACTCACAGTGACACACTCACAGTGACACACTCAGAGTGACACACAGTGACACACTCAGAGTGACACACTCAGAGTGACACACTCACAGTGACACACTCACAGTGACACATTCAGAGTGACACACAGGTGACACACTCAGAGTGACACACACACAGTGACACACTCAGAGTGACACACTCACAGTGACACACTCAGAGTGACACACACACAGTGACACACTCAGAGTGACACACTCAGAGTGACACACTCACAGTGACACACACACAGTGACACATTCAGAGTGACACACAGGTGACACACTCAGAGTGACACACACACACACAGTGACACACTCAGAGTGACACACTCACAGTGACACACTCAGAGTGACACACTCACAGTGACACACAGTGACACACTCAGAGTGACACACTCACAGTGACACACACACAGTGACACACTCAGAGTGACACACAGTGACACACTCAGAGTGACACACACACACAGTGACACACTCAGAGTGACACACAGTGACACTCAGAGTGACACACACACACAATGACACACTCAGTGACATACTCACAGTGACACACAGTGACACACACAGTGACACACAGTGACACACAGTGACACACTCACACAGTGACACACTCAGAGTGACACACTCAGAGTGACACACTCAGTGACACACTCACATTGACACACTCACTCACACACAGTGACACACTCAGAGTGACACAGTGACACACACACAGTGACACACTCACAGTGACACAGTGACACAGTGACACACTCAGAGTGACACAGTGACACAGTGACACACACACAGTGACACACAGTGACACACACACAGTGACACACAGTGACACACTCAGAGTGACACAGTGACACAGTGACACTCACAGTGACACACTCAGAGTGACACAGTGACACACTCACAGTGACACACTCAGAGTGACACAGTGACACACTCACAGTGACACACTCAGAGTGACACAATGACACAGTGACACACTCACAGTGACACACTCAGAGTGACACAGTGACACACTCACAGTGACACACTCACAGTGACACAGTGACACACACACAGTGACACACTCACAGTGACACACTCAGAGTGACACACAGTGACACACTCAGAGTGACACACTCAGAGTGACACACTCACAGTGACACACACACAGTGACACATTCAGAGTGACACACAGTGACACACTCAGAGTGACACACACACACAGTGACACACTCAGAGTGACACACTCACAGTGACACACTCAGAGTGACACACTCACAGTGACACACAGTGACACACTCAGAGTGACACACTCACAGTGACACACACACAGTGACACACTCAGAGTGACACACAGTGACACACTCAGAGTGACACACACACACAGTGACACACTCAGAGTGACACACAGTGACACACTCAGAGTGACACACACACACAATGACACACTCAGTGACATACTCACAGTGACACACAGTGACACACACAGTGACACACAGTGACACACTCACACAGTGACACACTCACACAGTGACACACTCAGAGTGACACACTCAGAGTGACACACACAGTGACACACACAGTGACACATACACTGTGACACAGTGACACACACACATACACACATACAGTGACACAGTGACACAAGTGACACACACACAGTGAGTGGAGCGATGCATTGTGGGAGGGAGTGGAGCGGTGCATTGTGGGAGAGAGTGGAGCGGTGCATTGTGGGAGAGAGTGGAGTGGTGCATTGTGGGAGAGAGTGGAGTGGTGCATTGTGGGAGATAGTGGAGTGGTGCATTGTGGGATAGAGTGGAGTGATGCATTGTGGGAGATGAGAGTGGAGTGGTGCATTGTGGGAGAGGAGAGTGGAGTGATGCATTGTGGGAGAGGAGAGTGGAGCGGTGCATTGTGGGAGAGAGTGGGGCGGTGCATTGTGGGAGAGAGTGGAGTGATGCATTGTGGGAGATGAGAGTGGAGTGATGCATTGTGGGAGAGGAGAGTGTAGTGGTGCATTGTGGGAGATAGTGGAGTGGTGCATTGTGGGAGATAGTGGAGTGGTGCATTGTGGGAGATAGTGGAGTGATGCATTGTGGGAGAGGAGAGTGGAGTGATGCATTGTGGGAGAGGAGAGTGGAGTGATGCATTGTGGGAGAGGAGAGTGGAGTGATGCATTGTGGGAGAGGAGAGTGGAGTGGTGCATTGTGGGAGAGGAGAGTAGAGTGATGCATTGTGGGAGAGGAGAGTGGAGTGATGCATTGTGGGAGAGGAGAGTGGAGTGATGCATTGTGGGAGAGGAGAGTGGAGTGATGCATTGTGGGAGAGGAGAGTGGAGTAATGCATTGTGGGAGAGGACACAGTAGAGTGATGCATTGTGGGAGAGGACAGTGGAGTGATGCATTGTGGGAGAGTAGACTGGAGTGATGCATTGTGGGTGTCTCCAGGCTGACCCCAAGGGAAGGAGGTTCGCATCAACGTTTGAGAACACGGAGCAGATTGTGACGGTGATTCACCAACCACCACCACCACCGCTACCACAACCACCACCACAATCACCACAACCACCACCACCGCAACCACAACCACCACCACAATCACCACAAGCACCACTACTACCACAACCACCACCGCTACCACAACCACCACAACCATCACAACCACCACCACAATCACCATAACCACCACCACCACAACCACCACCGCAACCACCACCGCAACCACAACCACCACCACAATCACCATAACCATCACCACCACCGCAACCACAACCACCACCACAATCACCACAAGCACCACTACTACCACAACCACCACCGCTACCACAACCATCACAACCACCACCACCACAATCACCCTAACCACCACCACAACCACCACCACAACCACCGCTACCACAACCATCACAACCACCACCATCACAACCACCACCACCACAACCACCACCGCGACCACAACCACCACCACAACCACAACCACCACCACATTCACCATAACCACCACAACCACCACCACAACCACCACAACCACCAATCCACTCACTACGGTCTGTCTGTGTGTGTGTGACTGTGTGTGTGTGTGTCTGTCTGTGTGTGTGTGACTGTGTGTGTGTCGCGGTGCCGGACGGGCAACTCTGTCGTGGACAGTGCTGTGGGGGGAGGGCCAATTCCGATTGGCTCCTCCCCTCAATGGCATCTGTGACCACCACAGTGGCTAAACGGGGGTTCTGGACGGGTGCGAGGGGCTGGTAACCCCTCCACCTTCAATTAATTACCACGAAACCACGAATTAAACTGAAATATGTAACTAATAAGCTTATGCCGGAGGCCCCGGGGGGCCAGGCGTCTATGACGTCTCCTGGCCAAACCCCAATTGGCGGAGCCAGGAGATTGAATCTCTACCCTCGGGGCTCCTCCAGAAACAACGAAAAGCCACTACGGGTGGCCACGTGGAATGTTCGAACGCTCACTGCGGAGGAGAGGCTGCCACTCCTCTGTCGGGAGCTGGACCGGTACCGCCTGGAGCTATGCGGCATTCAGGAGGGTCCGGTGGACCGGTTCTGGCTCCTGCCACCATGAGGGGTGGCCAGTCCTCTACTCGGGGCAGCAGACTGCCAAACAACAGGGTGTGGGTCTTCTTTTGAACAAAAGAATGAAGGGGGGCGTGGGAGCGTGGCGGTGAGGTGTGGGAAGCTGTAAGCCCCAGGCTACTTTGGGCTCGCCTTCCCATCAACCGGAGGCGAGGAATGGTGGTCGTGGTTACTTATGCCCCCACTGAAGACGAACATCCGTGGAGGGATGCAGGCAAAGCCGATGAGTTAGATGCCTTCTATGACCTCCTGTCACAGGTGCTGGCTAAAGTGGCCCCTCGGGATAGAGTCATCTTGTTGGGTGACTTCAATGCCCGAGTTGGTCATGATGCTGGCATCTGGTCTGGAGTGATTGGAGGGCATGGGCCAGATCAGCTCAATAACAACGGTAGGAGGCTGCTAGATTTTTGTGCAGCCCATGGGCTTGTAATTACCAACACGCTGTTCCGGCATCGGCGCATCCACACAACATCATGGATGCATGCCGGGTCCAAGCAAGAACATCTGCTGGACTACATAGTGACGGACCAGCGGACCTACCGTGGTGTGTGTGTGTCTGTGTGTGTGTAGGTGAACTTCTCCCGTGTTGATGTGTCTGTGTGTGTGACTGTGTGTGTGTGTGTCTGTGTGTGTGTGTGTCTATGTGTGTGTGTGTGTGGGGGAGCGATAGTGTAGCGGTTAGCGCTACGCTGCGCTATGAACCTGGCGACCCGGGTTCGATTCCCGCTCACGGCCAACACCAGTGACGATTATCTGAACTGGTCCCGGGCCTCCCCTAGGTCGACTCAGCCTCAAATGAGTACCTGGTGCGGTGTGTAAACATTGCCACTAGGGAGACAAAGGCGGTCGGGCGTGGTGCTGGCCACCCACCCCCTCGTGTACCGTTCCGGCCTTCATAGGTGCTCGCTAACAGCACTTGCCCCAACAGTCTGTCAAGGCTATACGGGGGATCTTTGTCTTTGTGTGTGTGTGTAGGTGAACTTCTCCCGTGTTGATGTGTCTCTGTGTGTGTGTGTCTGTCTATGTCTGTGTGTGTGTGTCTGTGTGTGTGTGTCTATGTGTGTGTGTGTGTGTGTCTATGTGTGTGTGTAGGTGAACTTCTCCCGTGTTGATGTGTCTGTGTGTGTGTCTATGTGTGTGTCTATGTGTGTGTCTGTGTGTGTGTCTATGTGTAGGTGAACTTCTCCCATGTTGATGTGTCTGTGTGTGTGTGTCTATGTGTGTGTGTGTCTATGTGTAGGTGATCTTCTCCCGTGTTGATGTGTCTGTGTGTGTCTATGTGTGTGTGTGTGTGTCTATGTGTGTGTGTCTGTGTGTGTGTGTCTATGTGTAGGTGATCTTCTCCCGTGTTGACGTGTCTGTGTGTGTGTCTATGTGTGTGTGTGTGTCTATGTGTGTGTCTATGTGTATGTGTGTCTATGTGTGTGTGTGTCTATGTGTAGGTGATCTTCTCCCGTGTTGACGTGTCTGTGTGTGTGTGTCTATGTGTGTGTCTATGTGTGTGTGTCTATGTGTGTGTGTGTCTATGTAGGTGATCTTCTCCCGTGTTGACGTGTCTGTGTGTGTGTCTATGTGTCTATGTGTGTCTATGTGTGTTTGTCTATGTAGGTGATCTTCTCCCGTGTTGACGTGTCTGTGTGTGTGTCTGTGTGTGTGTCTATGTGTCTATGTGTGTGTCTGTGTGTGTGTCTATGTGTCTGTGTCTATGTAGGTGAACTTCTCCCGTCTTGACGTGTCTGTGTGTCTGTGTGTGTCTGTGTCTGTGTGTGTCTATGTGTGTGTGTGTCTGTGTGTGTGTCTATGTGTGTGTCTGTGTGTGTGTCTATGTGTGTGTGTCTATGTGTAGGTGATCTTCTCCCGTGTTGATGTGTCTATGTGTGTGTCTCTATGTGTGTGTGTCTATGTGTGTGTGTCTATGTGTGTGTGTCTATGTAGGTGAACTTCTCCCGTGTTGACGTGTCTCTCCACACGGGAGCCTTCCCGGAGTTCGTCAGCTTCCTGTCCTCACTCGCTCCGGCATCATCATCAGCAGCAGCATCAGCAGCAGCATCAGCAGCAGCATCAGCAGCAGCATCAGCAGCAGCATCAGCAGCATCAGCAGCAGCATCAGCAGGGAGTATCGGACAGATAAACCGTGAGTCTCTCTCTCCCCGTGTCTCTCTCCCCGTGTCTCCCCGTGTCTCTCTCCCCATGTCTCTCTCTCCCCATGTCTCTCTCTCCCCGTGCCTCTCTCCCCGTGTCTCTCTCTCCCCGTGTCTCTCTCTCTCTCTGTGTCTCTCTCTCCCCGTGTCTCTCTCCCCGTGTCTCTCTCTCCCTCTGTCTCTCTCTGTGTCTCTCTCTCCCCGTGTCTCTCTTTCCCCGTGTCTCTCTCTCCCCGTGTCTCTCTCTCTGTGTCTCTCTCTCCCCGTGTCTCTCTCCCCGTGTCTCTCTCTCCCCGTGTCTCTCTTTCCCCGTGTCTCTCTCTCCCCGTGTCTCTCTCTCCCCGTGTCTCTCTCTCTGTCTCTCTCCCCGTGTCTCTCTCTCCGTGTCTCTCTCCCCGTGTCTCTCTCTCCCCGTGCCTCTCTCCCCGTTTCTCTCTCTCTGTGTCTCTCTCCCCGTGTCTCTCTCCCCGTGTCTCTCTCTCCCCGTGTCTCTCTCTCCCCCTGTCTCTCTCCCCGTGTCTCTCCCCGTTTCTCTCTCCCCGTGTCTCTCTCTCCCCGTGTCTCTCTCTCCCCGTATCTCTCTCCCCGTGTCTCTCTCTCTCTGTGTCTCTCTCCCCGTGTCTCTCTCCCCGTGTCTCTCTCTCCCCGTGTCTCTCTCCCCGTGTCTCTCTCTCCCCGTGTCTCTCTCCCCGTGTCTCTCCCCGTGTCTCTCTCCCCGTGTCTCTCTCTCCCCGTGTCTCTCTCTCCCCGTGTTTCTCTCTCCCCGTGTCTCTCTCTCCCCGTGTCTCTCTCTCCCCGTGTCTCTCTCTCCCCGTGTCTCTCTCTCCCCGTGTCTCTCTCTCCCCATGTCTCTCTCTCCGTGTCTCTCTCTCCGTGTCTCTCCCCGTGTCTCTCTACCCGTGTCTCTCTCTCCGTGTCTCTCTCTCCGTGTCTCTCTCCCCGTGTCTCTCTCTCCCCGTGTCTCTCTCTCCCCATGTCTCTCTCTCCCCGTGTCTCTCTCCGTGTCTCTCTCTCCCCGTGTCTCTCTCTCCCCGTGTCCCTCTCTCCCCGTGTCTCTCTCTCCGTGTCTCTCTCTCCGTGTCTCTCTCTCCGTGTCTCTCTCTCCGTGTCTCTCCTCGTGTCTCTCTCCCCGTGTCTCTCTCTCCGTGTCTCTCTCCCCGTGTCTCTCCCCATGTCTCTCTACCCGTGTCTCTCTCTCCGTGTCTCTCTCTCCGTGTCTCTCTCTCCCCGTGTCTCTCTCTCCCCGTGTCTCTCTCTCCGTGTCTCTCTCCCCCCGTGTCTCTCTCTCCCCGTGTCTTTCCCCGTGTCTCTCTCTCCGTGTCTCTCTCTCCCCGTGTCTCTCTCTCCCCGTGTCTCTCTCTCCGTGTCTCTCTCCCCCCGTGTCTCTCTCTCCCCGTGTCTTTCCTCGTGTCTCTCTCTCTGTGTCTCTCTCTCCGTGTCTCTCTCTCCCCGTGTCTCTCTCCCCGTGTCTCTCTCTCCGTGTCTCTCTCCCCGTGTCTTTCCTCGTGTCTCTCTCTCCGTGTCTCTCTCTCCCCGTGTCTCTCTCTCCCCGTGTCTCTCTCTCTCCCCGTGTCTCTCTCTCCGTGTCTTTCTCCCCGTGTCTCTCTCCCCGTGTCTCTCTCTCTCTACGGTAATGTTGATGTTGACGATGTTGACGATAATGATGATGATGCGGTTGATAATGTTGTTGACCATGTTGTTGTTGTTGATGTTGTTGTTGATGTAGTTGATGATGTTGTTGTTGTTGACGATGTTGACGATAATGATAATGATGTGGTTGATGATGTTGTTGACCATGTTGTTGTTGATGTTGTTGTTGATGTAGTTGATGATGTTGATGTTGTTGTTGTTGTTGATGTAGTTGTTGTTGTTGATGTAGTTGATGTTGTTGTTGTTGACGATGTTGACGATAATGATGATGATGTTGTTGTTGATTTTGTTGACCATGTTGTTGTTGATGTTGTTGATGTTGATGTAGTTGATGTTGTTGTTGTTGATGTAGTTGATATTGTTGTTGTTGTTGATGTTGTTGATGATGTTGATGATGATGATGTTGTTGTTGTTGATGATGTTGTTGTTGTTGTTGTTGATGATGTTGTTGTTGTTGTTGACGATGTCCAGGCAGGGTCTGTCTACGCGTCGTGGTTCAGGCCGACGATTTGAGCGTCCGCATCACGGAGACGCAGCGCGACATCGCACTAGCCACCTCGCTGGGTACACAACAACAACAACACAACAACCACAACAACAACAACACAACAACAACAACCACACAACAACACAACCACACAACACAACAACAACAACCACACAACCACACAACAACAACCACACAACACAACAACAACACAACAACACAACAAAAACAACACAACAACAACAACCACACAACAACAACACAACAACAACAACACAACAACCACAACAACACAACAACAACAACCACAACCACACAACAACAACAACCACCACACAACAACACAACAACAACAACCACCACAACAACAACCACACAACAACAACAACAACAACACAACAACCACAACAACAACACAACAACAACAACCACACAACAACAACAACAACAACAACCACACAACACAACAACAACCACACAACCACACAACAACAACCACACAACAACAACACAACCACACAACAACAACAACCACACAACCACACAACAACCACACAACAACAACAACCATACAACAACAACCACACAACAACAACCACACAACAACAACCACACAACAACCACACAACAACCACACAACACAACAACAATAACAACAACCACACAACAACAACACAACAACAACCACACAACAACAACAACACAACAACAACAACACAACAACAACCACACAACAACAACCACACACCAACAACAACAACCACACAACAACACAACCACACAACAACAACAACAACAACCACACAACAACACAACAACACAACAACCACACAACAACACAACCACACAACAACAACAACCACACAACAACACAACAACACAACAACAACAACCACACAACCACACAACAACAACCACACAACAACAACACAACCACACAACAACAACAACCACAACAACAACAACAACCACACAACAACCACACAACAACAACCACACAACAACCACACAACAACAACAACAACCACACAACAACAACCACACAACAACAACAACCACACAACAACAACAACAACCACACAACAACCACACAACAACCACACAACAACAACCACACAACAACAACCACACAACAACAACAACCACACAACAACAACCACACAACAACAACCACACAACAACAACCACACAACAACAACAGCAACAACCACACAACAACAACCACACCACAACAACAACCACACAACAACAACAACCACACAACAACCACACAACAACCACACAACAACAACCACACAACAACAACAACCACACAACAACAACAACCACACAGCAACAGCAACCACACAACAACAACAACAACAACAACCGCCATTCACCACTAAATGGCGGTGATGTCACCACGACGCTTGTGCCAGACACACACACACACAGACACACACACAGACACACAGACACACACACACACACACAGACACACACACACACACACAGACACACACACACAGACACACACACACACAGACACACACACACAGACACACACACACATACACACACACAGACACACACACACACAGTCACACACACACAGACACACACACACAGACACACACACAGACACAACAACAACAACAACAACCGCCATTCGCCACTAAGTGGCGGTGATGTCACCACGACGCTTGTGCCAGGCTATGTGCACCGTGAGGCCACGTGAAGTGTCGAACGCCCGCTGGCAGGAGGTCACTGGGCAGACCCAGGTGCCACGGGTCGACTGACTGAGATGACTGGCTGATGCACCACCTGTGCCCCCTACTGTGCCAACCTGCTGTGCTTTAGCCACCCGGCGCTCCGCTCGTTGTTCTGAGCGTCGCTCCTCCGCCCTCCGTTGTTGTTGGAGGGCGACTGCCTCCAACTGCCAAGTAGCATCCTTCACGAGCCTCCTCCACAGAGGCCGATCTTGACACCGCTGGTACCAGTCATCGGCAAGTCCACTCAGCTCCATGTCCTCCTGTACCACATCACTCCATCTCTTCTCTAGCCCGTGCCGCGCCCGCTTAGCCCCCTCAATCCGGCCAAACAAAAGCTGTTTCGGCATGCAGTGGCTGGGCATGCGGGCTACATGACCCAGCCATCGCAGCCTTGCCTGCCGGAGGAGCTCACCGATGGGACCCTGCCCAGATCTTTCAAGGATTTGTGAGCTCCTCACACAATCCAGTCTGGTTAAACCCAGGATGGATCGTAGGCAGGCCAGCCTAAATGTTTCTAACCGGCGAAGATGTTCCATTAGGGGGGTCCACGTTTCGCAAGCGTAGAGAAGGGAGGGAATGACCGTGGCCGAGAAGACCTGAAGCTTAGTGCGGAGCGACAGACCAGGTAGCTTCCACACAGCGTTACGCAACCGATGAAAAGATATTGCCGCTCGACTGATTCGGAGTGAGACCTCTGCTGTTAAACTGGAGCCAGTCATAAGCACACTGCCCAGGTATGGGAAACTCTCCACTCTCTCCACAACTGCCCCATCACCGATTGGGAGTTGTGGGGGTGGAGTGTCCGATGGTACAAAATACCCAGGCAGGTGCTTAGTTTTGGTGGGGCTGATGGTAAGGCCCCACCTCTTAGTGGCACGCTCCAGTCTCAGCAGCAGCGTCTCCAACTCCTCCTCTGACTGAGCAGCTATTACCACATCATCAGCATACATAACGTGGTTGAGCAATAGGGAGCCATCCCTTGACCGCACCCGGGCATCGATTAGCCTCCCATTATATCTGTACCATATGGAGATTCCCCCGGTACAGCTATTGAAGGCTTCACGAACTACGTGGTCAAAATAGATGTTAAATAATGTGGGAGCCAGAGGACATCCCTGTCGCACCCCAAGGTGTACAGGGAATGGCTCTGACTCCCGGCCACGTAGTTTTACCCGGGCCCGCTCACCATCATGAAGGTCCTTAATGATCGTGAGCAGAGGGTCCGGTACTCCAAAAGCACGAAGAACGACCCAGAGCCCAGGCCTACTGATGGTATCATAGGCCTTGACCAGGTCAATAAAGCAGAGATGTAGGTCTTGTTGGAATTCCCTACACCTCTGCTGTAGCAGACGGACAGAAAATATGGCATCTGTGCAGGACCGCCCTTTCCTGAAACCACATTGGGGCTCCGCAAGCCTCTCCTCAGCGTGCCGGGCAAGGCGATGCTGAATAATCCTTGCCAGGACCTTTCCAAGCACACTGAGGAGTGAGATGCCCCTGTAGTTGTTACAGTCTGTGCGGTCCCCCTTCTTAAAAAGGGGGACCACCAGGGCATCCTTCCAATCCTGCGGAACCCGTCCAGTGGTCCAGACTGTTGTTATGATGTCATATAGGGCAGTCTGTGCACAAACGCTACCCTCCCTCAGCATTTCGCTTGGGAGATCATCTCTGCCCGCTGCCTTTCCTGGTCTCAGACTCCGGATCGCCTTCAATCCTTCCTCAGCAGATGGCACCTCAGCCAGCCACTCACAGGGGGTGACTTCTTCCAATATTTGAGGCACCGCAGCCTCAGCAGGGTCATCCTCACTTTGTGCCACGATGTTTTCCTGGCTGAGGGATTTTCCCTCCCCCAGGACCTCACAGAAATGCTCAGCAAATCTGTGAACCTGTTCCTGGGGGTCGGAGATTGGATCACCGTTTTTTCCCCTAATGATGGTAATAGGTGTGGCGCTGCAGGTTACTTTTTTGATGGAGTTAAATAGAGATTTGTGATCACGGGCCACTGAGGCAGACTCCATCTCCTCAGCAACCCGCGACCACCACCCATCCTTGCAGCGCCTCACGGCTCTCCGAACCTCCGAGCGAAGGCTGCGGTAAGCCTCCTCATTCTCTGACGTGGGACGATGCCAATCCCAGCCGCAAGCGATGATGAAATTCTCGCTTGCAACTTTCATCATATAACTGAGACCAGGCCACTTTATGTTGGAATGGGGTCCTGGGTGTACACCCACCACCGGAGTGGAAGAATGGCAGGCGCATCTTACAGATGACTAGTCGATGGTCAGAGGGCAGATCAGCTCCACGGTAGGTCCTGGTGTCAAGGACATGGGCTCGCATTCGCTGGTCCGTCACTATGTAGTCCAGCAGATGTTCTTGCTTGGACCCGGCATGCATCCATGATGTTGTGTGTATGCGCCGATGCCGGAACAGCGTGTTGGTAATTACAAGCCCATGGGCTGCACAAAAATCTAGCAGCCTCCTACCGTTGTTATTGAGCTGATCTGGCCCATGCCCTCCAATCACTCCAGACCAGGTACCAGTATCATGACCAACTCGGGCATTGAAGTCACCCAACATGATGACTATCCCGAGGGGCCACTTTAGCCAGCACCTGTGACAGGAGGTCATAGAAGGCATCTGACTCATCGGCTTTACCTGCATCCCTCCACGGATGTTCATCTTCGGTGGGGGCATAAGTAACCACGACCACCATTCCTCGCCTCCGGTTGATGGGAAGGCGAGCCCAAAGTAGCCTGGGGCTTACAGCTTCCCACACCTCACCGCCACGCTCCCACACCCCCTTCATTCTTTTGTTCAAAAGAAGACCCACACCCTGTTGTTTGGCAGTCTGCTGCCCCGAGTAGAGGACTGTCCACCCCTCATGGTGGCAGGAGCCAGAGCCGGTCCACCGGACCTCCTGAATGCCGCATAGATCCAGGCGGTACCGGTCCAGCTCCCGACAGAGGAGTGGAAGCCTCTCCTCTGCAGTGAGCGTTCGAACATTCCACGTGGCCACCCGTAGTGGCTTTTCGTTGTTTCTGGAGTAGCCCCGAGGGTAGGTATTCAATCTCCTGGCTCCGCCAATTGGGGTTTGGCCAGGAGACGTCATAGACGCCTGGCCCCCCGGGGCCTCCGGCACAAGCTTATTAGTTACATATTTCAGTTTAATTCGTGGTTTCGTGGTAATTAATTGAAGGTGGAGGGGTTACCAGCCCCTCGCACCCGTCCAGAGCCCCCTTTTAGCCCCTGTGGTGGACATATATGCCATGAGGGGAGGAGCCAATCAAAAATTGGATCTCCCCCCACAGCACTGTCCATGACAGAGTTGCCCGTCCGGCACCGCGAGGAGGTAGGGGGTTGTTTTGCCGGACACAGACACACACACACAGACACACACACACAGCCACACAAAGATCCCCCGTATAGCCTTAACAGACTGTAGGGGCAAGTGCTGTTAGCGAGCACCTATGAAGGCCGGAACGGTACACGAGGGGGTGGGTGGCCAGCACCACGCCCGACCGCCTTTTTCTCCCTACTGACGATGTTTACACACCGCACCAGGTACTCATTTGAGGCTGAGTCAACCTAGGGGAGGCCCGGGACCGGTTCAGATAATCGTCACTGGTGTTGGCCGTGAGCAGGAATCGAACCTGGGTCGCCAGGTTCATAGCGCAGCGTAGCGCTAACCGCTACACTACCACAGACACACACTGACACACACACACACACACAGACACACACACACAGTCACACACACACAGACACACACACACAGACACACACACACAGACACACACACACACAGACACACACACAGACACACACACACACATAGACACACAGACACACACACAGACACACAAACAGACTTACACAGACACATAGACACACAGATTATGTTAATGATGATGATGTTGTTGATGTCTCCCTCCACCCCCATCACCACCATCACCATCACAACCACCATCACCACCATCACCACCCCACCATCACCACCACCATCACCACCCCCACAACCACCACCACCATCACCACAACCACCACAACCACCTCCACCACCATCACCACCCCCACCATCATCACCACCACCACCACCATCATCACCACCACCCCCACAACCACCACCCCCACCACCACCATCACCATCACAACCACCATCACAACCACCATCACCACCACCATCACCACCCCCACAACCACCACCATCACCACCACCACCACCACACCACCATCACCCCCACCAGGCCTACACTCCACTGTCTCCCTCTCCCCGGGCCTGACGGAGGTCTCGGCCCGGCTGAGCCGCATCCTCATCAGGGACCCCCACCCCGGCACCCTCCACCCTCAGGTGAGTGCCGGCCCGGGGCCCAGCGCAGGCTCCTGGGGGGAGCTTCCAGGCAAGGGTGGGGCGCCTAGGGCCCATTGCAGCAGACCCACTCACTCACCTACTCAGTCGCTCACTCACTCACTCACCTAATCACTCACCTACTCACTCACTCACTCACCTACTCACTCACTCACCTACTCACTCACCCACTCACTCACCCACTCACTCACTCACCTACTCACTCACCCACTCACTCGCCCACTCACTCGCTCACCCACTCACTCGCTCACTCACCCACTCACTCACTCACCCGCTCACTCGCTCACCCACCCACTCACCCACTCACTCACCCACTCACCCCCCCACTCACTCGCTCACTCACTCACCTACTCACTCACCCACTCACTCACCCACTCACCCACTCACCACTCACTCACCTACTCACTCACCCACTCACTCACTCACCCACTCACTCACTCACTCACCCACTCACTCACTCACCTACTCACTCACCCACTCACTCACTCACTAACCTACTCACTCACTCACCCACTCATTCACCCACTCACTTACTCACTCACCCACTCACTCACTCACCTACTCACTCACCCACTCACTCACCCACTCACTCACCTACTCACTCACCTACTCACTCACTCACCCACTCATTCACCTACTCACCTACTCACTCATTCACCCACTCACTCACTCACCTACTCACTCACCTTCTCACTCATCCACTCACTCACCCACCCACTCACCCACTCACCTACTCACTCACTCACCTACACACTCACCTACACACTCACTCACTCACCTACACACTCACCTACTCACTCACTCACTCACCTACTCACTCACCCACTCACCTACTCACTCTCCCACGCACCCACTCACTCACCCACTCACCTACTCACCCACTCACCCACTCACTCACCCACTCACTCACCCACTCACTCACCCACTCACTCACCCACTCACTCACCCCACCCACTCACTCACCCACTCACCTACTCACCCACTCACCCACTCACTCACCCACTCACTCACCCACTCACCTACTCACCCACTCACCTACTCACTCACCCACCCACTCACTCACCCACTCACTCACCTACTCACCTACTCACTCACCCACCTGATGATGGTGGTGATTATACTGCTATTGCTGCTGCTGCTCCTACTGATGATGATGATGCTACTGCTGCTGATGATGCTGATGATGATGCTACTGATGATGATGCTACTGCTGCTGATGATGCTGCTGCTGATGATGATGCTGCTGATGATGCTACTGCTGCTGCTGATGATGATGCTTTACAGGTGGTCAGCACAGAAGAGGGTCAGGATGTCTTCATCTTGAACATCGCCAGTCGAGCGATGGATGGCGGTGATGGCGGTGGTGATGGCGGTGATGGCGGTGGTGATGGTGGTGATGGCGGTGATGGCGGTGATGTCATCTCTCTAAGCGTGGGATGCGTGAGGTTGGTGTACCTGGCGCGATTCGTCAACGACATGACGGTAACAGCACCTAGCCTGGCACCTGGCGCGCGGAGAGCACGCAGATCCACGGAGACACACAGAGACTCATAGAGACCCACAGAGACCCACAGAGACTCATAGAGACCCATAGAGACACACAGAGACTCATAGATACTCATAGAGACCCATAGAGACCCATAGAGTTGACACAGAGACTCATAGAGACTCATAGAGACCCACAGAGACTCATAGAGACCCATAGAGACCCATAGAGACCCATAGAGACCCATAGAGTTGACACAGAGACTCGTAGAGACACACAGAGACTCATAGAGACCCACAGAGACTCATAGAGACCCATCGAGACTCATAGAGACACACAGAGACTCATAGAGACTCATAGAGACCCACAGAGACTCATAGAGACCCATAGAGACGCATAGAGACACACAGAGACTCATAGACACTCATAGAGACCCATAGAGACCCATAGAGTTGACACAGAGACTCATAGAGACTCATAGAGACCCACAGAGACCCACATAGACTCATAGAGACCCATAGAGACCCATAGAGTTGACACAGAGACTCATGGAGACTCATAGAGACCCATAGAGACACATAGAGACTCATAGAGACTCATAGAGACCCATAGAGACTCATAGAGACCCATAGAAACCCATAGAGACCCATAGAGACACATAGAGACCCACAGAGACCCACAGAGACTCATAGAGGCCCATATAGACTTATAGAAACCCATAGAGACTCATAGAGACTCATAGAGACCCATAGAGACTCTTAGAAACCCATAGAGACCCATAGAGACTCTTAGAGACTCATAGAGACCCATAGAGACACATAGAGACCCATAGAGACCCACAGAGACCCATAGAGACCCATAGAGACACACAGAGACCCACAGAGACTCATAGAGACCCACAGAGACCCATAGAGACTCTTAGAGACCCATAGAGACCCACAGATACCCATAGAGACTCACAGAGACCCATAGAGACCCATAGAGACTCTTAGAGACCCACAGAGACCCATAGAGACCCATAGAGAGACTCTTAGAGACCCATAGAGACTATACACTACACTATACACTACACTATATACTACACTATACACTACACTACACTATACACTACACTACACACTGCACTATACACTACACTATACACTACAATATACACTACACTATACATTACACTATACACTACACACTGCACTATACACTACACTATACACTACAATATACACTACACTATACACTACACACTACACTATACACTACACTATACACTACACTATACACTACACTACACACTACACTGCACTATACACTACACTATACACTACACTATACACTACACTACTCACTATACACTACTACACTATACACTCCGCTACACACTACACTACATGATACACTACACTATACACTTCTACACTACACTACTATACACTACACTATACACTACACTATACACTACACTATACACTTCACTATACACTACACTACACACTACACTACACACTACTACACTATACACTACACACTACTACACTATACACTACACACTACACTACATGCTACACTACACAGACAGAGAGAGACACACACGTGCTGAGGAGCAGTGACAGAGCGATGTGATCACTGCCGATGTCACCGTCGTTGCGATCCCCCACAAATCCTCCTGCTCCTGTTCAGGCTGCAGCTGCCCAGCTGATCCCAGCATCAACCACCGCCACCACCGCCGCCACCACCACCGCCACCACCGCCGCCGGCCCGGTGAAGCTACCGTCACCGTCACCGTCACCGCCGAAGGCATCCGCGTCTCGGCGGCTGCGGCTGCTGATGAAGATTCACGCTCCGCTCATTGTGCTGCCCGCTGGCAGCCACTCCAACCACGCCCTAGTGTCGAACCTGGGTCTCATCGCCATCTCCAACGGATACGCTGGCGGTGGTGGTGAAGGTGGTGGTGGAGGTGGTGGTGAAGGTGGTGGTGGTGGTGGTGAAGGTGGTGGTGGTGGTGAAGGTGGTGGTGGTGATGGGTGCGTGACGGAGATTTTCACGGTGGAGCTCAGAGAGATGAATTTGTACCGGTGGGTTTGGCTCGCTCAGTCAGTCGCTCAGTCGCTCAGTGGCTCAGTGGCTCAGTCAGTCACTCAGTCACTCACTCACTCAGTCAGTTACTCAGTCACTCAGTCAGTCACTCAGTCATTCACTCAGTCACTCAGTCAGTCACTCAGTCACTCACTCAGTCAGTCACTCAGTCAGTCACTCAGTCAGTCACTCAGTCACTCAGTTACTCAGTCACTCAGTTACTCAGTCACTCAGTCAGTCGTTCAGTCAGTCACTTAGTCACTCAGTCAGTCACTCAGTCAGTCAGTCACTCAGTCACTCAGTCACTCACTCAGTCACTCAGTCATGCACTCAGTCATTCACTCAGTCACTCAGTCAGTCACTCAGTCACTCAGTCACTCAGTCAGTCACTCAGTCATTCACTCAGTCACTCAGTCAGTCACTCAGTCAGTCATTCACGCAGTCACTCAGTCAGTCACTCAGTCATTCACTCAGTCACTCAGTCACTCACTCAGTCACTCACTCAGTCAGTCACTCAGTCAGTCACTCAGTCAGTCAGTCACTCAGTCACTCAGTTACTCAGTCACTCAGTCAGTCACTCAGTCAGTCGTTCAGTCGGTCACTTAGTCACTCAGTCAGTCACTCAGTCAGTCAGTCACTCAGTCACTCAGTCACTCACTCAGTCACTCAGTCATGCACTCAGTCACTCAGTCATTCACTCAGTCACTCAGTCAGTCACTCAGTCACTCAGTCACTCAGTCACTCAGTCAGTCATTCACGCAGTCACTCAGTCAGTCACTCAGTCGCTCAGTCAGTCACTTAGTCACTCAGTCAGTCACTCAGTCACTCACTCAGTCACTCACTCAGTCACTCAGTTATTCAGTCACTCAGTCAGTCACTCATTCACTCATTCACTCAGTCAGTCAGTTAGTCACTCAGTCATTCACTCAGTCAGTCACTTAGTCACTCAGTCATTCACTCAGTCAGTCACTTACTCAGTCACTCAGTCAGTCACTCATTCACTCAGTCACTCACTCAGTCACTCACTCACTCAGTCACTCAGTCATTCACTCACTCAGTCAGTCACTCAGTCACTCAGTCAGTCACTCAGTCAGTCACTCAGTCACTCAGTCAGTCACTCAGTCAGTCACTCAGTCACTCAGTCACTCACTCAGTCACTCACTCATCATCGTCATCATCATCATCATCGTCATCGTCGTCATCGTCATCATCGTCGTCATCATCATCATCGTCATCATCATCGTCATCATCATCATCGTCATCATCAGCATCATCATCATCGTCATCATCGTCGTCGTCATCGTCATCATCATCGTCATCATCATCATCATCGTCATCATCATCATCATCGTCGTCATCATCGTCATCATCGTCGTCATCATCATCGTCGTCATCGTCGTCTTTGTCCGTCCCACCACTAGGTCCACTCAGACGTCACAGCTGGGCCAGGCAGCCCCGGCTCAGCAGCAGCTCCTGCTGCTGCCACTCAGCATGGACGTGAGGCTGGAGAGGTCACAGGGTCACGTTCACCACCTCCGTCTCACCGTCAAACTGCACGACATTGAGGTGGGTGAGTGAGTGAGTGGGTGAGTGGGTGAGTGGGTGAGTGAGTGGGTGAGTGGGTGAGTGGGTGAGTGGGTGAATGAGTGAGTGAGTAGGTGGGTGAGTGAGTAGGTGGGTGAGTGAGTGGGTGGGTGGGTGAGTGGGTGAGTGAGTGGGTGAATGAGTGAGTGAGTAGGTGGGTGGGTGAGTGAGTGGGTGAGGCTGGAGAGGTCACAGGATCACGTTCACCACCTCCGTCTCACCGTCAAACTGCACGACATTGAGGTGGGTGGGTGGGTGGGTGGGTGAGTGGGTGAGTGGGTGGGTGGGTGAGTGAGTGAGTGAGTAGGTGGGTGGGTGAGTGGGTGGGTGAGTGAGTGGTGAGTGAGTGGGTGAGTGAGTGAGTGGGTGAGTGGGTGAGTGAGTAGGTGGGTGGGTGGGTGAGTGAGTGGGTGAGTGGGTGAGTGGGTGGGTGAGTAGGTGGGTGGGTGGGTGAGTGAGTGGGTGAATGAGTGAGTGAGTAGGTGGGTGGGTGAGTGAGTGGGTGAGGCTGGAGAGGTCACAGGGTCACGTTCACCACCTCCGTCTCACCGTCAAACTGCACGACATTGAGGTGGGTGGGTGGGTGGGGGGGTGAGTGGGTGGGTGGGGGGTGGGTGGGTGGGTGGGTGAGTGGGTGAGTGGGTGAGTGAGTGAGTAGGTGGGTGGGTGAGTGAGTGGGTGAGGCTGGAGAGGTCACAGGGTCACGTCCACCACCTCCGTCTCACCGTCAAACTGCACGACATTGAGGTGGGTGGGTGGGTGGGTGAGTGGGTGGGTGGGTGGGTGAGTGAGTGGGTGAGTGAGTGGGTGAGTGGGTGAGTGGGTGAGTGAGTAGGTGGGTGGGTGGGTGAGTGAGTGGGTGAGTGAGTGAGTGGGTGAGTGGGTGAGTGAGTAGGTGGGTGGGTGGGTGAGTGAGTGGGTGAGTGGGTGAGTGGGTGGGTGGGTGAGTGGGTGGGTGAGTGAGTGAGTGGGTGAGTGAGTGAGTGAGTAGGTGGGTGGGTGAGTGAGTGGGTGAGGCTGGAGAGGTCACAGGGTCACGTCCACCACCTCCGTCTCACCGTCAAACTGCACGACATTGAGGTGGGTGGGTGGGTGGGTGAGTGGGTGGGTGGGTGGGGGGGTTAGTGGGTGGGTGGGGGGGGTGGGTGGGGGTGGGGGGGTGGGTGGGTGGGGGGGTGGGTGGGTGGGTGAGTGAGTGGGTGAGGCTGGAGAGGTCACAGGGTCACGTCCACCACCTCCGTCTCACTGTCAAACTGCACGACATTGAGGTGGGTGGGTGGGTGGGGGGGTTAGTGGGTGGGTGGGGGGGGTGGGTGGGTGGGGGGGTGGGTGGGTGGGGGGGTGGGTGGGGGGGTGGGTGGGTGGGTGAGTGAGTGGGTGAGGCTGGAGAGGTCACAGGGTCACGTTCACCACCTCCGTCTCACCGTCAAACTGCACGACATTGAGGTGGGTGGGTGAGTGAGTGGGTGAGTGGGTGAGTGAGTGAGTGGGTGGGTGAGTGAGTGGTGAGTGAGTGGGTGGGTGGGTGGGTGAGTGAGTGGGTGAGGCTGGAGAGGTCACAGGGTCACGTTCACCACCTCCGTCTCACCGTCAAACTGCACGACATTGAGGTGGGTGGGTGGGTGAGTGGGTGAGTGGGTGAGTGGGGGGGTGAGTGGGTGGGTGGGTGAGTGGGTGGGTGGGTGGGTGAGTGAGTGGGTGAATGAGTGAGTGGGTGAGTGAGTGGGTGGGTGAGTGAGTGGGTGAGTGAGTGAGTGGGTGAGTGAGTGAGTGGGTGAGTGGGTGGGTGGGTGAGTGAGTGGGTGAGTGAGTGAGTAGGTGGGTGGGTGAGTGGGTGGGTGGGTGGGTGAGTGAGTGGGTGAGTGAGTGAGTGAGTGGGTGAGTGGGTGGGTGAGTGTGTGGGTGGGTGAGTGAGTGTGTGAGGCTGGAGAGGTCACAGGGTCACGTTCACCACCTCCGTCTCACCGTCAAACTGCACGACATTGAGGTGGGTGGGTGGGTGGGGGGGTTAGTGGGTGGGTGGGGGGGTGGGTGGGTGAGTGAGTGAGTGGGTGGGTGAGTGAGTGAGTGAGTGGGTGAGTGAGTGAGTGAGTGGGTGAGTGGGTGAGTGGGTGAGTGAGTGAGTGGGTGGGTGAGTGGGTGAGTGGGTGAGTGAGTGAGTGGGTGAGTGGGTGGGTGGGTGAGTGGGTGGGTGAGTGAGTGGTGAGTGAGTGGGTGGGTGGGTGGGTGAGTGATTGGGTGAGGCTGGAGAGGTCACAGGGTCACGTTCACCACCTCCGTCTCACTGTCAAACTGCACGACATTGAGGTGGGTGGGTGGGTGGGGGGGTGAGTGGGGGGGTGAGTGGGTGGGTGGGGGGGTGGGTGGGTGAGTGAGTGGGTGAGTGGGTGAGTGAGTAGGTGGGTGAGTGGGTGAGTGAGTGGGTGAGTGGGTGAGTGGGTGGGTGGGTGAGTGGGTGGGTGAGTGAGTGAGTGGGTGAGTGAGTGAGTGAGTAGGTGGGTGGGTGAGTGAGTGGGTGAGGCTGGAGAGGTCACAGGGTCACGTTCACCACCTCCGTCTCACCGTCAAACTGCACGACATTGAGGTGGCTGGGTGGGTGGGTGGGTGGGGGGGGGGGGGGGTTGGGGGGGGGGTGGGTGGGGGGGTGGGGGGGGGGGTGGGTGGGTGAGTGGGTGGGTGGGTGAGTGGGTGGGTGGGTGAGTGAGTGGGTGAGTGAGTGAGTGAGTGGGTGAGTGGGTGGGTGAGTGAGTGGGTGAGTGAGTGAGTGGGTGAGTGAGTGAGTGGGTGAGTGAGTGAGTGAGTGGGTGAGTGGGTGGGTGGGTGAGTGGGTGGGTGGGTGAGTAGGTGGGTGGGTGAGTGAGTGGGTGAATGAGTGAGTGAGTGAGTAGGTGGGTGGGTGAGTGAGTGAGTGAGTGGGTGGGTGAGTGAGTGGTGAGTGAGTGGGTGGGTGGGGGGGTGAGTGAGTGGGTGAGTGAGTGGGTGAGTGAGTGGGTGAGTGAGTGGGTGAATGAGTGAGTGAGTAGGTGGGTGGGTGAGTGAGTGGGTGAATGAGTGAGTGAGTAGGTGGGTGGGTGGGTGAGTGGGTGGGTGGGTGAGTGGGTGGGTGGGTGGGTGAGTGAGTGAGTGGGTGAGTGAGTGAGTGGGTGAGTGAGTGTGTGGGTGAGTGAGTGGTGAGTGAGTGGGTGGGTGGGGGGGTGGGTGGGTGAGTGGGTGGGTGACTGTGTGGGTGAGTGGGTGGGTGAGTGAGTGGGTGGGTGAGTGAGTGGGTGAGTGAGTGAGTGAGTGGGTGAGTGAGTGAGTGGGTGAGTGGGTGGGTGGGTGAGTGAGTGAGTGGTTGTGTGAGTGGGTGAGTGGGTGAGTGGTGAGTGAGTGGGTGGGTGAGTGAGTAGATGGGTGAGCGGGTGAGTACGTGAGTCACCTCCCACTGACCCCCCTCTCACCCCCCCTCCCCGCCCACTCACCCCCCCCCACTAACCCCCCCACTAACCCCCCCTCCCCCCACTCACCCCCCCCCCCGCTCACCCCCCCTCCCCCCAACAGTTGTCAGTCTCTCAGCAGGACTTGTTCACTGCCCTGCAAATCCTCAACCAGAACCTCACCGAGGGGGGAGGGGCCACGCCACCGCCGACCAATGGCGGCTCCGGGGGGCGTGGCCTCGGCCAGCCCGCGAGCCAATCGGAGTCGAGCATGGAGAAGGGTGAGATTTGGGTGGTGGGGGGGGTGACACAGAGACCCATAGAGACCCATAGAGACCCACAGAGACCCATAGAGACCCATAGAGTTGACACAGAGACCCATAGAGACCCATAGAGTTGACACAGAGACCCACAGAGACCCATAGAGACCCATAGAGTTGACACAGAGACCCATAGAGACCCATAGAGACCCACAGAGACCCATAGAGACCCATAGAGTTGACACAGAGACCCATAGAGACCCATAGAGTTGACACAGAGACCCACAGAGACCCATAGAGACCCATAGAGTTGACACAGAGACCCATAGAGACCCATAGAGACCCACAGAGACCCATAGAGACCCATAGAGTTGACACAGAGACCCATAGAGACCCATAGAGTTGACACAGAGACCCACAGAGACCCATAGAGACCCATAGAGTTGACACAGAGACCCACAGAGACCCATAGAGACCCATAGAGACCCATAGAGTTGACACAGAGACCCATAGAGACCCATAGAGTTGACACAGAGACCCACAGAGACCCATAGAGACCCATAGAGTTGACACAGAGACCCACAGAGACCCATAGAGACCCATAGAGACCCATAGAGTTGACACAGAGACCCATAGAGACCCATAGAGTTGACACAGAGACCCACAGAGACCCATAGAGACCCATAGAGTTGACACAGAGACCCACAGAGACCCATAGAGACCCATAGAGTTGACACAGAGACCCATAGAGACCCATAGAGTTGACACAGAGACCCATAGAGACCCATAGAGACCCATAGAGTTGACACAGAGACCCATAGAGACCCATAGAGACCCATAGAGACCCATAGAGACCCATAGAGACCCATAGAGACCCATAGAGTTGACACAGAGACCCATAGAGTTGACACAGAGACCCATAGAGACCCATAGAGTTGACACAGAGACCCATAGAGACCCATAGAGTTGACACAGAGACCCATAGAGACCCATAGAGTTGACACAGAGACCCATAGAGACCCATAGAGTTGACACAGAGACCCATAGAGTTGATACAGAGACCCATAGAGAACCATAGAGACCCATAGAGTTGACACAGAGACCCATAGAGTTGACACAGAGACCCATAGAGACCCATAGAGTTGACACAGAGACCTATAGAGACCCATAGAGTTGACACAGAGACCCATAGAGACCCATAGAGTTGACACAGAGACCCATAGAGACCCATAGAGTTGACACAGAGACCCATAGAGTTGTTACAGAGACCCATAGAGACCCATAGAGACCCATAGAGTTGACACAGAGACCCATAGAGACCCACAGAGACCCATAGAGTTGACACAGAGACCCATAGAGACCCACAGAGACCGATAGAGACCCATAGAGACCCATAGAGACCCATAGAGTTGACACAGAGACCCATAGAGAACCATAGAGATCCATAGAGACCCATAGAGACCCATAGAGTTGACACAGAGACCCATAGAGACCCATAGAGACCCACAGAGTTGACACAGAGACCCATAGAGACCCATAGAGACCCATAGAGACCCATAGAGTTGACACAGAGACCCATAGAGAACCATAGAGACCCACAGAGTTGACACAGAGACCCATAGAGTTGACACAGAGAACCACAGAGACCCACAGAGTTGACACAGAGACCCACAGAGACCCACATAGTTGACACAGAGACCCATAGAGTTGACACAGAGACCCACAGAGACCCATAGAGTTGACACAGAGACCCACAGAGACCCACAGAGTTGACACAGAGACCCATAGAGTTGACACAGAGACCCACAGAGACCCACAGAGTTGACACAGAGACCCATAGAGTTGACACAGAGACCCACAGAGAACCACAGAGACCCACAGAGTTGACACAGAGACCCATAGAGTTGACACAGAGACCCACAGAGACCCATAGAGTTGACACAGAGACCCACAGAGACCCACAGAGTTGACACAGAGACCCACAGAGACCCACAGACTTGACACAGAGACCCACAGAGACCCATAGAGTTGACACAGAGACCCACAGAGACACACAGAGTTGACACAGAGACCCACAGAGACCCATAGAGTTGACACAGAGACCCACAGAGTTGACACAGAGACCCACAGAGACCCACAGAGTTGACACAGAGACCCAAAGAGACCCATAGAGTTGACACAGAGACCCACAGAGACCCACAGAGTTGACACAGAGACCCATAGAGACCCATAGAGTTGACACAGAGACCCACAGAGACCCACAGAGTTGACACAGAGACCCACAGAGACCCACAGAGTTGACACAGAGACCCACAGAGACCCATAGAGTTGACACAGAGACCCACAGAGTTGACACAGAGACCCATTGAGACCCATAGAGTTGACACAGAGACCCACAGAGACCCATAGAGTTGACACAGAGACCCACAGAGACCCACAGAGTTGACACAGAGACCCACAGAGACCCATAGAGTTGACACAGAGACCCACAGAGACCCACAGAGACCCACATAATTGACACAGAGACCCACAGAGACCCACAGAGTTGACACAGAGACCCACAGAGACCCACAGAGACCCACAGAGACCCACAGAGTTGACACAGAGACCCATAGAGACCCACAGAGACCCATAGAGACCCACAGAGTTGACACAGAGACCCATAGAGTTGACACAGAGACCCACAGAGACCCAAAGAGTTGACACAGAGACCCACAGAGACCCACAGAGTTGACACAGAGACCCACAGAGACCCACAGAGTTGACACAGAGACCCACAGAGACCCATAGAGTTGACACAGAGACCCACAGAGACCCACAGAGTTGACACAGAGACCCACAGAGACCCATAGAGTTGACACAGAGACCCACAGAGTTGACACAGAGACCCACAGAGACCCACAGAGTTGACACAGAGACCCAAAGAGACCCATAGAGTTGACACAGAGACCCACAGAGACCCACAGAGTTGACACAGAGACCCATAGAGACCCATAGAGTTGACACAGAGACCCACAGAGACCCACAGAGTTGACACAGAGACCCACAGAGACCCACAGAGTTGACACAGAGACCCACAGAGACCCATAGAGTTGACACAGAGACCCACAGAGTTGACACAGAGACCCATTGAGACCCATAGAGTTGACACAGAGACCCACAGAGACCCATAGAGTTGACACAGAGACCCACAGAGACCCACAGAGTTGACACAGAGACCCACAGAGTTGACACAGAGACCCACAGAGACCCACAGAGTTGACACAGAGACCCACAGAGACCCATAGAGTTGACACAGAGACCCACAGAGACCCACAGAGACCCACATAATTGACACAGAGACCCACAGAGACCCACAGAGTTGACACAGAGACCCACAGAGACCCACAGAGACCCACAGAGTTGACACAGAGACCCACAGAGACCCACAGAGACCCACAGAGACCCACAGAGTTGACACAGAGACCCATAGAGACCCACAGAGACCCACAGAGACCCACAGAGTTGACACACGCAGAGCGGCGGACCGTGGGGGTGAAGTATGGCCGTTGTGTACGCGTGGTGACGCTACAGGCCCAGCTGCTGTGTCCATCAGTGGCGAGTTTCTCTGCGATTCCCTCCGTCTGACGCTGTACCAGGCCCTGGGAGATGAGGTGATGGCATCACCATCACCAGCAACATCACCATCAACATCACCATCAACATCACCATCACCAACAACATCACCATCAACATCACCATCAACATCACCAACAACATCACCATCACCAACAACATCACCATCATCAACAACATCACCATCATCATCACCATCACCAACAACATCACCATCAACATCACCAACAACATCAACATCATCATCAACATCACCATCACCAACAACATCACCATCATCAACAACATCACCAACAACATCACCATCATCAACAACATCACCATCATCATCACCATCACCAACAACATCACCATCATCAACAACATCACCATCAACATTAACATCACCATCAACATCACCAACAACATCACCATCACCAACAACATCACCATCATCATCACCATCACCAACAACATCCCCATCATCATTAACATCACCATCATCATCAACATCACCATCAACATCACCATCGTCATCATCACCATCACCAACAACATCACCATCAACATCACCAACAACATCACCATCACCAACAACATCACCATCATCATTAACATCACCAACAACATCACCATCACCAACAACATCACCATCATCATCAACATCACCATCATCATCAACATCACCATCATCAACAACATCACCAACAACATCACCATCATCAACAACATCACCATCATAATCAACATCACCATCATCATTAACATCACCATCATCAACAACATCACCATCATCAACAACATCACCATCAACATTAACATCACCATCATCATTACCATCACCATCATCAACAACATCACCATCATCAACAACATCACCATCAACATTAACATCATCATCACTACCACCACCACCACCATCACCACCATCACCACCACCACCACCATCACCACCACCACCACCACCATCATCACCACCATCACCACCATCACCACCACCACCATTGATTCCTCTCCAGGCTCTGCACTTGGAGGCCTCTCGCCTGGCCAGCTTCAGGCTCCAGCTGGTCAAGGCGGGCCTGGAGTGGGCGTCGCCGCCCTCCTCGTCGCCACGGCTACCGTCGCCACGGCTACCGTCGCCAGGGCCGCCGTCGCCAGGGCCACCGTCGCCACGGCTACCGTCGCCACGGCTACCGTCGCCAGGGCCGCCGTCGCCAGGGCCACCGTCGCCACGGCTACCGTCGCCACGGCTACCGTCGCCAGGGCTGCCGTCGCCACGGCCGCCGTCGCCACGGCCGCCGTTGCCGCGGGCGATGAGGGCGTGGCTCAGCATCGCAAACCTCATCCTTGACGACGAGAGGAGCGACCGTGCACAGAGCGTGACGTCACGGTGGGTACCACCATCACCATCACTACCATCACCATCACTACCATCACCATCATCACCATCACCACCATCATCACCATCACCACCATCACTATCACTACCATCACTACCATCATCACCACCATCACCATCACTACCATCACCATCACTACCATCACTACCATCACCATCATCAACACCATCACTACCATCACCACCATCACTACCATCACTACCATCATCACCACCATCACCATCACTACCATCACCATCACTACCATCACCATCACCACCACCATCACCACCATCACCATCATCAACATCAACATCACTACCATCACCATCATCACTACCATCACCATCATCACTACCATCACCATCACTACCATCACCATCACCACCATCATCACCACCATCACCACCATCACTGCCATCACCACCATCACCATCACTACCATCACCATCACTACCATCACTACCATCACCATCATCAACACCATCACTACCATCACCATCATCACTACCACCATCACCATCATCACCATCATCACCACCATCACCACCATCATCACCATCATCACCACCATCACCATCATCACCATCATCACCACCATCACCACCACCATCACCATCATCACCACCATCACCACCACCATCATCACCATCACCATCATCACTACCACCATCACCATCATCACCATCATCACCACCATCACCATCATCACCATCACCACCATCATCACCATCATCACCACCATCACCATCATCACCACCATCACTACCATCACCACCACCATCACCACCATCACCACCATCACCATCATCACTACCATCACCACCATCACCATCATCATCACTACCATCACCATCACTACCATCACCATCACTACCATCACCACCATCATCACCATCATCACTACCACCATCACCATCATCACCATCATCATCACTACCATCACCATCACTACCATCACCATCACTACCATCACCACCATCATCACCATCATCACCACCATCATCACCACCATCATCACCATCATCAACACTACCATCACCATCACTACCATCACCATCACCACCATCACTACCATCACCACCACCACCATCACCATCATCACCATCACCATCATCACTACCACCATCACCATCATCACCATCATCACCACCATCACCACCATCATCACCATCATCACCACCATCACCATCATCACCATCATCACCACCATCATCACCATCATCACCACCATCACCATCATCACCATCATCACCACCATCACCACCACCATCACCATCATCACCACCATCACCACCACCATCACCATCATCACCATCACCATCATCACTACCACCATCACCATCATCACCATCATCACCACCATCACCACCACCATCACCATCATCACCATCACCACCATCATCACCATCATCACCACCATCACCATCATCACCACCATCACTACCATCACCACCACCATCACCACCATCACCACCATCACCATCATCACTACCATCACCACCATCACCATCATCATCACTACCATCACCATCACTACCATCACCATCACTACCATCACCACCATCATCACCATCATCACCACCATCATCACCACCATCATCACCATCATCACCATCATCACCACCATCACCACCATCACCACCATCACCATCATCACTACCATCACCACCATCATCACTACCATCACTACCACCATCACCATCACTACCATCACTACCACCATCACCATCACTACCACCATCACCATCACTACCATCACTACCATCACCATCACTACCATCACCATCACTACCATCACCACCATCACTACCACCATCACTACCATCACTACCATCACCATCACCACCATCACCATCACTACCATCACCACCATCACTATCATCATCACCATCACCACCATCACCACCATCACTACCATCACTACCACCATCACTACCATCATCACTACCATCAGTACCATCACTACCACCATCACTACCATCATCACTACCATCAGTACCATCACTACCACCATCACCACCATCACTACCATCACCACCATCACCATCATCACCACCATCACCATCACCACCATCACTACCATCACCACCATCACCACCATCACTACCATCACTACCATCACTACCATCACCACCATCACCATCACCACCATCACTACCATCACCACCATCACCATCATCACTATCATCACTACCATCACTACCATCACCATCACTACCATCACCACCATCACTACCATCACTACCACCATCACCACCATCACCACCATCACCACCATCACCATCACCACCATCACTACCATCACTACCATCACCATCACTACCATCACCACCATCACCACCATCACCATCACTACCATCACTACCACCATCACCACCATCACCACCATCACCATCACTACCATCACTACCACCATCACCATCATCACCATCATCACCACCATCACCACCACCATCACCATCATCACCATCACCACCATCATCACCATCATCACCACCATCACCATCATCACCACCATCACTACCATCACCACCACCATCACCACCATCACCACCATCACCACCATCACCACCATCACCATCATCACTACCATCACCACCATCACCATCATCATCACTACCATCACCATCACTACCATCACCATCACTACCATCACCACCATCATCACCATCATCACCACCATCATCACCACCATCATCACCATCATCACCATCATCACCACCATCACCACCATCACCATCATCACTACCATCACCACCATCATCACTACCATCACTACCACCATCACCATCACTACCATCACTACCACCATCACCATCACTACCACCATCACCATCACTAGCATCACTACCATCACTACCATCACCATCACTACCATCACCACCATCACTACCACCATCACTACCATCACTACCATCACCATCACCACCATCACCATCACTACCATCACCACCATCACTATCATCATCACCATCACCACCATCACCACCATCACTACCATCACTACCACCATCACTACCATCATCACTACCATCAGTACCATCACTACCACCATCACTACCATCATCACTACCATCAGTACCATCACTACCACCATCACCACCATCACTACCATCACCACCATCACCATCATCACCACCATCACCATCACCACCATCACTACCATCACCACCATCGCCACCATCACTACCATCACTACCATCACCACCATCACTACCATCACTACCATCACTACCACCATCACCACCATCACCACCATCACCATCACCACCATCACTACCATCACCACCATCACCATCATCACCACCATCACTACCATCA